CTTCTACATTCCATAGAGGAGGGAAGGGTCACAATGGTGCCTTTGTTCAGGCAAGGGGATAGGCAGACTTTTGGGCCTGGCTTTTTATATGAGTGCTGGCTCTAAATACCAGCAGGCAAAAGTAGTGAGGCTGACCCTCCCTCCACTAGTCCTGGGGACATTTAAACTTTGGCTTTCTGCTTTTACTAATGCTGTCAGTGTATTGCAGGTGTTAACCAAGCCTTTATCACTGTTCTCTGCAAAGCACGGTAGTGCTCCAGAAAAATCAGCTTGCCAAATAAGAAGTAAATTACAGTAAAAAATATATATATCAAAAATAAATTGTTAGCATTAGAAAGCTGGAAATGAGTCAGTGGTATAATTCATAGGACTTTGACCCAAAATACAATAGTTTGCAATACGACTTTTACTTTTTTAGTATCTAGATGCTTTTTGGCTTAACTACTTGAGTTGTTTTTGCATATGATAATAGGTCAAAAAATTAATCACATGGCAAAAGATTATTACTTGTTAAAGGTATTTAATATTTTCAAATCTGTCCTCCAGTTTGTTAGTTGCCAATGTGTCTGAAAAAAAAAAGCAATTCAAAACAATCTTACCTGGCTGGCATGTGCACGTGAAGCCATTGACCATATCCCGACATATCCCATCATTCACGCATGGGTTACTCTCACAGTCATCCACATCAGTCTCGCAGTATGTGCCCACGTAGCCTGGAAGACAGAAGTGTTCTTCTTTTTAGAACTTTTTTATTGCTTTTAAGCCTGTTTCTCACTTTGGAGTACGGGTATGTCAGTTCAAGCCAACATGGTGCGTACATAATTCTGTGTATTGTGTAGGAACCTTTTTACTTGTGATCGTTTTGCACTTGCTTTTGCTAAACCACGGCATCCAATTCCACTGAACTGAAATCGCCACGCACTACTGTCCATAGAGCTTTGCTCCTCCTTGGCTCAGTGTCCCATTCAGCAGATGCATGTTATGCTTTTTACTTTAGGTCCTTCATTGAGGTGAAACAGAATGTGAGTCAGAGTCTTGCTCCTGTGGTGAGGCTAGCGTGGAATCAGAAATAATCAGTAGCACCACATGAGCTTTGCCAGGCTGACTGATGATGAGGAGGGTGAGGAGGAAGGCCCTGTCTCTGGAGGGGGGAGGGGGACAGGCTCTGGGAAAGAGCCTCTTTCCCTCTCTGTGTATATGAGGGGTGCAAAGTGGAGCACAGAGGGGCCCTATTGTTCCACTCCATTCCCACCACTCTACCACTCATTAGTATTCACAGCACACTCCTCCCCCTAACTGCTCGCCCTCTCTCACATCCAGTCCTATAGACCCAACTCCCGGCTCTAATTTGTATAGCTCCCAAAACCCCAGCATGCATGTAGAACTGTGCATGAGAGTTTCACTGTGTTTTTTGTCCCAGAGTGTCAAAACTATCACTCAGTCCAAACCAATACTCCATCTGGTGGTACAGTGCACTAAGGATGGAGAGGTGCCTCCATATAACCAGTGTTTAGGGAAATACATCACATAACCTTCTACACTGGCAGCATGGTGGCACGATATATTGTGTTTCTGTTAAAGTACAAGTTTTCAAAAGTATCTTTTGGTCAAAAGTGATTCTCTTGGATGATAAATCTGTGTTGTGCCAGAGTTTGAGTTTCAAAAAGCTGTTTTTAAAGTATTTTTTAAAAAAAAAAAAATTAAGCTCACCTAAAACCTGAGTGCAGGATGTAAAATTGCAACAATAATTTATGAAAGCATAATTAGTTTATTAAAAATAAAAAAGAAGTGATATTTCTCTTTATCATAATGGAGTGGCCATACAAAATGTCTTTGTACCTGGCATGCAGATGCAGGTGAACTCTCCAATCCGGTCAAGACAGGTGGCATCATTCTGGCAGGGCATGGACAAGCATTCATTGATGTCAATCTCACAACGTGGGCCGGCATATCCCCGGCCACATTGACACTGGAAAGACCCCTCTGTGTTCACACATTTTCCAAAATGCTCACATGGGTTTGCACCTGTTGGTAGAAGGCAAAGGATTAAAATATGGAACACAAAAATATATACAACAACACAGCATATAACAACAGGACCGGGATTTGGCAAGAAAAAACAAGCAAAAAAAAAAAGCAGACTTGCCAATTGAGCATTCATCCATGTCCTGGTTGCAGGCACCCCCTACAAAGCCAGCAGGACAGGTACAAATGGCACGGCCATTAAGAGGGTTGGTGTCACACACTGCTCCCTCATTGCAAGGGTTGCTTACACATGCATCATCAAGGTGGCATAGCAAACCTGTGGATAAAACACATATATCAACAATTTATCATACAGGATTAAATACAGGCCAAATAGGCAGATAGAAAAACCCACTTACCTGTCTTTCCAACTGGGCACTCGCAGAAAAAGGATGCTACACGGTCATGACAGGTGGCACCATTGAAGCAAACAGCTATTGCACAGTCATCAATGTTCTCACTGCAGTCATCTCCAGTCCAGCCATTGACGCAGACACAAGTATGGCCACCAATGGTGTTGAAGCAAGTACCCCCATTATGGCATGCATTGGGTTGCATTTGACACTCATTTACATCCTCAGCGCAGTATTGTCCTAGTGGGTAGGTGAAATATGGGTTTGAACATATTTTTTTATGAACATGACATGTATACCTGTATTTAAAGTTAATTTGAAGAGCTATACCTGTCCATTCTGGTGGACACTGGCAGTTGTATGTGTTAACTCCATCTACACATATTCCTCCATTCATGCACTTGTGACCTGGGCAGTCATCCACATTGTTCTCACAGTTGTGTCCTTCAAAACCTGAGACAAATTTAAAGACAAAAGCCTTATAGCATGCAGCTAACATTTCTGCTCATAATCTTAAATCATGTTTCGTATAACAACCCAAGGTGAGAAGCAAGGTGACCAGTAAAAGGGTTCAATGGGTGTTTAATTGTTTACATGTTCCCACATAATGTCAGCAACAGCACTGACTCTTGCCTGCTTCAGAGGTCAACACCCCCCTCTGTGTTTGCTTGTTTTATAATCTCTCACAGTTTCAATGACTTCCTCTCTGGCAAAAGACATTTCCTGTCAGCTCCCAGTGGGAAACCAGAAGCCCCATAAAATAAATTCCTTCTGTTGTGACGAGAGCAGAGAAGGTTGCAGGCCGCCTGCCTCCAACTCTCCCACCAATCCATCCACCATTAGGAGCTATTAAGAGCAGACAGGAAGCTGACATAAGACAGAGAATATAAAACGCCAGCAGCAGCACTAACAGCTACGTCATCAGGCTGGGAAAATCTGATGCCCGTAGCAGTGGAACGACCGTGTGTTTGTGTGTGTTCTACTGCTCTGCTAAAGAGAAATTCTACCTGGTAGGCAAGCACACTCATAGGAATGATCGCTGGTCTGTCGACATGTGCCCCCATTAAGGCACTGAGATGGTGCACAGGGCAAGGTGGACACCTCACATGTGCGCCCGCTGTAGCCTGGCTGGCACTGACAGCGGAAGGATCCATGGATGTTTATGCAGGTTCCACCATTGAGGCAAACACCAGGCTTGCGGCACTCGTCAATGTCATTGCGGCAGTTCTTTCCTTGGAAGCCAGGCGGACAGGAACAGTTATAATGGTTATTCCAATTGACGCATCGGGCTCCGTTGGCACAGGGACTTGTCGCACAAGCATCAATGAGGGAGCAGTCTTGGCCTGGGAATCAAATAGTGAACAGAAATCAATTTGATACTTTGAATTTACTTAATAAGATCTGACGTTTCCAGTACATATGCATTCTTTTAGACATACCTCTGAACCCTCTCTGGCACACACAAGTGTACTGTGTGACACCATTGAGCACCTCGCTCTTGCATGCTGCTCCATTCTGACATTGTGATCGAAGACATGGATCCAGGTGTTGACAGAGAGGACCAATGAATCCGGGACGACATCTAAAAACACACACATAAGGATGCGGCCTATATGTCAAAACAGGTCACAACAATCAAAGGCTAGAGCAGTTAACACAAAGCTGCCGAATTACAGAAACTGTAGCTTGTTTTTTATCCTGCTCTGGGTTTGGCAATCTGGACCCAGTGACGCTTAGGAAAGCTCTGCTACCTTGAGTAATAGTTCTTGCCCTGGAATGAATTTGTTTTAGGATATTTTTTCTCATAATATATAGCACACATATTAGTAGAGCCACAAAAAAGAAAAGAAATACAATGAAAAGACAGAGTTAGGCCATGTGTGTTATTGACTTTATTAGTCGCACACTACTATTTTCAGTTGGAAAACCTAATTTTCTCAGCTAACATTCTCCAGTTTTTCCAAACCCCAGTTCTTATTTCTGTTCCCATATATGAAAAAGAACACACCCAGAAACAGTTTGGAAATTTAACAATTGCCAACAAATACTGACATGAGGAAAAACAAGGGCTGCACACAGTGCTCTTTAACAGGATAGGAGAAACAGCTGTGGTGTTTAAATTAAACAACCAACTGTCCTCTTGGTGGCTGTATTCTAAAACATGTGGTGATATCAGTTTATTCAAAACATTCATTTATTTTTTGGGTTCCATTACTTTTCATTTTGCAACTACCCTGAAGACTGGAGTCTGAGTTGTGACCTATAATGCGCCTGAATACATCCTGCACAGACAGAGGTGGAGGAATGAAATCTCCTTTTGCTCTGCAAATGTGTTGCCTTGTCTCTATTCAAGCTGTGTAGACATTGTTTGAGCTTGACCTAAACACGCAGTACAAAGAAGCTGAGATAAATATAAAAACAGGGTTTCCAGTTGCTCTCTATGAAGCTCCTATGGGAGTTCAGGCAAGGTTTGGAGTGCTGGTAACACTACACCCACAGTGAAGCCCTTGACTGAGGACAGGAACCCTCTTCAAAGAGGCTGATGCTTATGGCTGTGAGGTGACAGCTGGGTTCTGGCCCACCCTCGGGCACTGTCATCTCTTTCAATGGAGAGAAACCCTGGGCAGGATCAAAAATGGGGTTTCATCTGTTCTCACTTACAGGATAATGCATTTTTTTTATTCTTACTTTTGTATGTGCAGTCCCACTCTAAGAAAAAAGACAAAAAAACATAAAATGCTCTCACTCCTGGCTAGGAGGCTGAGGCTGCTTTAAATTAGGCGGCAGGGAAACCGATCCAGATCTTGATTTTCTATGAAAAAAGGATGCTTTGTTTCTGGCTGGTCTAGATTGGTGGAACAATAGAAAACTTAAGGTTTCTCGGTTTTGTTTAATTTTTTTTCTTTCCAGCTTTCCAAAAGCAATTGAAATTGTGGACTATGCATGACGGCACACAAGACTATCCACAAGAGTGTAAAAATATATTTTTAAAGTGATAGTTTGGTGCTATGTTAAATTTAATTGTTAGAAAGAGAATATAGGGAACTGACATCTTCCAACAAAACATGAGACTTCATTGGAAAGTTAAACTGAAGCCATTTGAACGCCTATGTTGAGAGACAGATTTTGCGCATTTACTACAGCTACTTTTCCTTCTCCTAAACCCCTCCTCCTCTCATGAGGCTGAGAGGTCAGATGTTAGAGGGTCCCCTGTTTGATTGTGATGATAATGTCACTCAGGCTACAGAGTGTGAGGAGGGGATGCTCCACAGGAGAGACTGTCTTTTGAAGGTGCAATTGGTAGAGAGGGAGATCAAGAGGAAACAAGAGTAGACTGGTCCATCAAGAATGTCATGTCATATTTCCTGTAATCCCTGGTCCTTTGCTCTGAAAACACAGTACTCACTCGTAATGCACTATTCTTGTTGCCATAGTAACCTCACAGATGAACAAGCAAGCTTGACACCCAACCAATCACCCCTACCCCCCAACCATGGTTCCCATGGCTATTTGTCATGGCTTGGCTGGGTTTATTTAGAGGCAAATTAACTATGTCTGGAATCTAGGGTGTCACTAAAAATGAAACACAAATGTGGAACAAAGCGGTCTTTGAAAGGACTGATGAACAAAATTGCTTTAAGAGCTGAAACATACAACGCAGACTGACAGTCAAATTCTTCTGGAGCCATATTTGACTGCTGATGAAAACCAAAAGGCTAGAAACTTAGCAGGCGTTGTTCTCCAAAGACCATCATGACTCTATGTGGAAAGAAATCAACAACTCACTCCAGGAAGTAATGTGTCCCCAAGTGTATGTTGATATACAGATTAAAATATTTATTTGGAATTAATGTGTTTTTGTCTATTAACATACAGGTATACAAGTGTATCTGTGGGTGGGCTTATAAAAGTGACGATAGTAATAACGCCTGATAAATTATTTGTCCTCCCTTTCAAATGTGCAATGAAGTAAGCAGCCAAAACACACATTCTTTTGTCTAGACCTGACTCCTTGCCAACATGCTACTCCCATAACACACAAATCAGAATGCTATCAGCGTAGAGACTGTGAGAGACATGCAACTTTTGTCCTGGTTCACACTTCATACCACTGTGAAAAGTCTGCTTATCAGGCTCTTTATAACCTTATGGATTCCACTGCCCATGGGAACAGAAGGGCAGGATCTGTGCCTTTGCGTGAGCCCAACTTTAATTGTGGCGGATGTGAAAGGCAGGTGCAGTTTGCTGTTGTGCAATGGGCCCCTGAGTCATACTTAGTGAGTGTCAACATCTGACCTTGGAGGAAGAGCGTACAGCAGATGAGGAAGAGGTCTCTGGGTGCAACAGAGAGACGGGCAGAATGAGTAATCTCTCCTTGTCAGCACATATGAAGGTTTTTGCCAGCTGCAGTACTGACACCATGCATCTGTCCACATCTGTCAGAGTACCTCTGGTTGTCTAGCATTTAGCTCCGGTGCCAGACTTTAAGCCAAAACAATTGAGCTTCTTTGCCCATGGGACAAACTTTGTAACCAACACACACACAGTCACAAACACAAGGCATTTTAAATATCTCAGAAGGTATGCTCAACCTCAACAAATACATGCATTAACAGTTCCGCCTAACAAACACTGTTATGTGGAGGCACCACTGCAACAAAGCAAACACATGCAACAATCACTACACACCCAAACACAAAGAAAAAAAACTTACAAACAGCCTTAGGCTCTGAGGAGGGGTTGTATCATGAATGCATAAAAGAGAAGGTCCACTGAGGAAATTATATAAGAAGGAAAAGAGAAATAGCAACCTTGTCAAAGGTTTAATTGAGAGCTTCAAATACAAATGATTATAAGACATCCAAAAACAAAATGGGATTCAGTCAGTGCGCTTTGATTGCAGAGTTGTTCTGTATCAAGTAACGTGATATCATGACTAAAACCATTTGATTTATGTAAGTTCTGTCACTTGTTACTTGTGTAACACAATGCTAGTTTTCCTGGTTTCTGGGTCACTGAAGCAGGGTAACCTGAGCTCATCCTCTTCAACACAATAGCGGCAACTCAGCCAGAGGTCAAAGGGCGGCTCACCTGTGAACAAAGAGGCTGTAATCTCTGACACGGTTCGTACACACAGTCATGCTCCACAAAACAACAACTATAAAGGATTCTTCTTATCTTAGGGGGCATTTTCTAAGACAAATGGAAAGGAAGAGAAACAACTGAACTATCATGTTTTGACTTGGGACAACTTTTCAAATTCTCTGTTGCCTGAAAAAAGCTAGTCTTACATTTTTTAACGCTTGAAGTTGGTATAATGACATCATATAATGAATCTGTTGGAAAAGTCTTGAAACATTTCCTAATACAACTACCTCATACCCTTCCCCCTCTTTCCACAAGCAAGCAGGAACCAGCTCTTCTCTTTTATGAAGAGTCCACACTGACACCACACTGCCAACAGGAGCCCATCTCCACACCCCCTCCTTCCAGCAACCACCTCTGCTCTGCTCTCTCCAGCTTGGCTCTCTCCTTTTCAGCAGAGAGCCAGATTGGGGGTTGGGGAATGTTTTGTGGTCCAAATAAAAGAGCTAAAGTAGTCAGAACTTCTTTGAATGAAAGTGTTGGGGGGTGGGGGAAGATGGTAGGGGTAGGAGGGAGTGGGGGGCAGTGACCCAAACAGCTAGTCTTTCAGGCCTGGGCTGTAGCCTGGCAACAGTAACCCATGGTGAGACAGAGCTAGAGTGGGAAAAAAGGGGGGTGATAGGAGACAGGGTTTCATAAGGACAGTTGGGGCACTTCAGAAGACTGATCCTCCTACATATGCAGGTAGCTCTGAGCGCTGTGCTAAACCAATTCAGACTCATAATTAAGTACAATCATGTCCAAAAGGATGACTGTTTCACAGTCTAAGGGCCAAGGTTTGTTTCAACAATTGTTCCTAGAGACACAATGAAAGCATTGAGCAGTCCAGAAGCTTTCCACAG